GTAAAGCATCGGAATGATCATATGAGCGATTTTTTATATTCTAGAAGTACATTCAGTATGACTATGTAAACAAAAACAAGTATTCAGTATGAAAACAACAAAAACAACACAAAAACGGAAGGTTTGTATACCTCGAATTTTTCATTTTTTTGTACATATCCAAGTCAACTAGTGAGAATCCAAGAAAGTCAACGCACAATCTCGACTGCTGTGTAATCTTTTCCCGATTGCCGCTTGATAGGTGACGTAGTTTTGACAGTGGTAACGTCTTTGGCTACGGCATCAACTTTGGAAGGTGGCATAACCATTTTTACACCTTTGCCGGAAATGTATTTCTTTGCTTGATCCCGCATCTCCTTGTTTAATACAATGTACAAAATACTGTTGCAAAAACCTGAATGAAAAAAATTGATTGCCTTTCTCCATGGAAAATTTTGGAGTGTGAATTATTGAGAAAAAAATCAACCAGCACAAAGTAGGCCCACGATGTAGAAAGGGCCGACGAACTTGAAGATGGAATATCCAATCGCTCTGGCTGAACCAACAAAAACGCTAGGAATTGTGATAAACAACAAAGAGCTCATAAGAATTCCAGCAGAAATACGGTTTGCCTGAATAAGGGAACCATGATTACTTTGGACTGGGTAGAAAAATAACAGATATAAGTGAATGGATGGATTGAAACCTGATGGAAAGTTTTTGGAGCTGCGCTTTTCCTTCACCTTCTTCCCAGTTCTATTTTTTAGCCTTTGGCCCATCTGATTACTTCCCGAACTAACTTTTTTGGTATGTTGAAGCCTTTTCTGAGTAAATGCTCAATTATTGAAAGTGTGAAGACCAGCTAATTTTGGTCCTTACGCAAAGCAATGTATAAGTCATCGAAAAAGCTCCCCATGCAGACGAATCTATTGTCATCACACCTTCTGAGGGCGACACAGCACTCTCGACCTAGAGCCCCATGCATTCAAACAGTACGTCGAATCTTTTCCCTCAGAAGGCATCTCAGCAGAAGTAGCCCATCCGCTAATCCCAATTGTAAAGCAAAGTAATGCCGTCTCCTTAACACGGGCAATGCTTCAACCCCTTCAGTAACAGGCCTGCACTCAATTCCGAAAATTTTCGAGTGGTTGAAAACTTCCGATAATTTACAATCCGTCCTGGGAGTTCTCTGTTTCTCTGTCGCCCTGTAGTGTCGAGACCGCTGAATACCCAGATAATATCTAGGTTAAGCCGCACTAATACATGATTTGCATTGAAAATCAGTCCTGTTTTGTTGTGATCCAACATACTCAGAAGTCCTTCGAATTCCAAGCTCTATGTCGTTAATCTTAGCAAAATTCTGTCCAGGGTTCCTGGACAGAATGGAGTTTCTACTCCTTTTCTTCTTACGTTGCCTCCCAGAGGTGCCAAGCCAACTCGTGGGAGTTATTTTTTAGAACATACCTGCGTGAACTTATGCATATCTTGGCTATGATGATCGACCTGCGAATCTTTCTCAATTGATCGTAGTTTAGCCATAATCAAAAAGGATAATACAATAACAACAGTTCCCAGAAACTGTAAAATAAAAATATAAAAGAAGTTTACAAATAAGGTCAAGTACTGATTGTTGATATGAACTCACCATATTGCTTATTCCCCAATAGTAACGGTATATCTCGCTAAGAAAACATCCGATTGCTGCACAATCTGGATGTCTTCGAAATGGTGTAAGAGTGAATTCAAGAATGAGATCAAGAATTGCCAGTAAACAACCAATCAGTAAACTGTAAGTTGCATAAGGAGAAGACGATAGTCTACGGTAAGTCATAGGGAAACGGAGAGCCTGAATAAACGCCTTTACAAAAGTAAATGTACCAGTAAAATTCGATTACCGGTTCCTACCAGTGTTCGTTCCAGCGCTATAGCTATCGTGAGGGTTAGGTTGATTTTCAGTTGGGCCACAAGAGGAGTAGCGCTAATCATAATATAATGGGGATCAAGATCTATATAATTTGGATCCCAATGCATAGTCAAGAATATGGTGAAAGGAAAGACTGAAAAATCGTTTTAATAGTAACCGTAGCGAAAAATTGATTTTTCAAAAATTCCCGGATATTTGAATAGGCATTACTTGTTATTGCAAATAGAAGGTCCGTAGTTGCCAGAAAAAATATCAACTGATGGCTGGAAGTGTTGCGTAGTTCTTTGTGCCTGAAAAATGGAAGAAGAGATTATAATTAATTTTAAATTGAAATTCAACCGTAGGTACCTAACAAAAAGGGTAACAGCGAGACCATTACAGCAAATAATCGCAACTTGAAGCAATAGAACCAAAATATCACTAATTAGATACCAGATGTTCTCCATTTATTGACAGTCGGGATGGCGAAGCTGAAATTTTCGCAAATAATTCTTTGACGACGTTGTTTTGGAGTATTTGCGCCATCGACCGACTCTCCGCTAGTCGAGCCGCCAAAGCAATTCAAAGTACATATAAACAAAGGGCATCAGGCATAAAGGGCACATGATTAATAAAAAAATAAATTTTGTCTGAGGGGGAAAGGTCCAGAGTGGAATGGATTGCAGCCAATTCACGCTGCTACAACATTTAGCGTGCGATCACCAAATTTAATGAGCCGGGGCCCAAGCCAATTGTACCATAAAAATCTGTTGCGATTTAGAATGGAAGTCGAGAAACGGGCGCAATCCTACACAGAGTTGTTTGCTAAGAAGTTAATTATCTACTATATGAAAGAAGATTTTCTGCCTGCAGTCGAAGGAAACCCATTCTTAAAGCGTTATAGATTCTATTTACTTATTTATTTACCATGCGTCCGAGGACGCGCTACAGTCCGGCAATGAAAGGGCTACCGAGACTACAAAAATATTCGGTTTAGGATCAACAAAAAAGAAACAGAAACCAACGAGAAGAAAAAAAGAACTGAGCACGACTTCTAACTCTTGGCTGAAGCAACATTTACTTCAGCCTACTGATACAAGCAGTAAGCCAAAGAAGTTCCGAGTCCATGATTGTCTTACATAAATCTGTAATTTATTACTGTATTCAACCCCTAATAAGTCTTAGCATGAGATATCGATATTTTAGGTATTACTGGTTATTGATGCATATATTTTACTACGAGCGGAGGTGATGAAGTGCCACGTGGCGCACTGTCATGCCCGAATAGTCCCTGGTTCAAAGCTAGGACCCATGTCCGCTCAGACCAACCAGGGTTTCCTTTCTTTTCGGAGTCGTATAATGGTATCGGACCCGTATGGGAGGATAAAAGCACTGAGTCGTTTATCGGTTGGCCACCATAAACCATTGTATAGGCCATATACGCATTCAAATGTCATTACGATTCTGAATGGAAGTCGAACGCTGGGCGCATCTCAAAATATAGAGCATCGTTGCTGCGGCCATGTCTTGGATGGGGCTATTTCTCAATTCTCATATGGAACCTTGATAGGTGACATAGAATCCTTTCCCAGTCTAGCGGCATGAGGTATCTCGGGATGTCAAGGCTGTTATGGAGCTCTAAGACTGTTTTCTTAACTCAAAGTTCTACCTTTCTGAGCATAAGTGACGAAAAGTTATGGCAAACAAATTCAGGTAATTTCCAAGGTTTTATGACGAGAATTGTTGGAAACTAGAGCTTATCCATACATATAATCAGGTTCCGTTCTAATAAATCGTACCTGCAATTGTCTGGTAAAGCACCACCTGCCCGTCTAAGGACTACCTCTGGTATGAAAGTACACTAGAAAAACAACAATTCCTCTCAAATGGAATTTTCCAAAAATCACGTCTGATTCATTATAATTTATGGATTTGAAATTCGTTTTTATACAAACAAAAATTAATAACTTCGAAATGAACGAGCTTGAGTCTTGTTGTCCGAGTAGAGGGTTTAGGAACTATAGTTTTCACAGATAGATGGCCCACATAGAAGAAAGGCATGTTTACTTGTTTATTTATCTATATGCACAGAATAAATGAGTAAAATGGATCGATTAAGTTTGCACTAATGCAGACATTTTCTCGAATAGCCATGTCATAAATGTAAAACCAAACAGACACGCATGGAAGTCGAAATAAAAAAGAAAACCAATTAGAATGAATCATGATCGAGACCAAATGGCAAGTAATTTCTCGAAGCAGTCAAGTAGTTAAGCAGTTACAGAAAAAGAACCGAGTAAAAAGAAAGCAATGATGGATTATTCCATAACCAAAAGCACCGCTTAGGGCAAACTTCGAGAAAATCATTCCAGGACTGCTATTGGAATTTGTGGAAATGACAGTTTCTCTTAAAGTTCCATGAGAAATGTAATTAGTGTAAAGAAATTTTGACGAGCGAAAAAACGTTTAGTTCTCTGTACTTTCTTTTTGTGAAAAGGCAATCTATTTTTCAGTTGCTCGAAAAAAATTCAGAAAAAACGAAAGAAAAATGATAATCGAAGATGAAAATTTTTCAGTGAAACTGAGCCCTACATCTGATTTTAATCAATTTTATTTTCTATAATAACAGCTCTGCTCAGAACCGAGATATGTCATGGTTTCAATTGAGACTCTGGCCAAAAAAAATTTATTTGTTTTGATTTGATTGTTTGTTGACTGCTTTTATTTCGCCCAGTATGCGATCTGAAAGTTTCGGGTTATGGGCAAAACTTCGGTTTCGGAAGGGGCTCAAAGGCCCGTACTTGTGCTATCCGGGCACCATGATCATGTACCACACACTGCAATTTAGTAAGCCAATCTACTTGGGGAGATGGTTTTTAGTTTTATTACCATGACATTTCCTCATTGCTATTCTGGATATTACTGTAATTATCGAGAAGAGAAGGAGGTATCCCATTCATTGTATAGGCTGGACGCACATTCAAACGTCACTACGATTCCGAATCAAAGCCGAGTATGGGGTGCATTCCGTAAACGGGACTGATCCCTTCAAAAAGACTTCACCTTCATCCTTCGTACTTTGAATACATTTGATCTCAACCCGATCGAAGATAGCGCTGTAAACTTATGATCTCCATTAAAGTTTCCACAAGCCAGTTCAATCATTCGTATTTGCTACGTGCCCATCGGTCGCACGAAGACGGTTCGCCGGCTATTCTTCTTGGAGGTTAGTTGAGATTTCTCAATTGGTGCTTGTCTTTAGTTTCTATTGTTGTTTATCCTATAACACTGAACTCTGAACACATTGGCTGCTTATTGTCCGAAATCAGACATGCTCGTCCGTCTGTTTTCATTAGCCAAAACGAGATTTCCTCTGCTCTTTGGATCCGAATCAACAAATGCATTGTATACAACAAATAATAATCACCATAATATCATCAAATAATCAAATACAGCGCATGTAACATGCAAACTGTAAAATGTAATGATTAGGCAGGAGGAGGAAGTGGGCGCTGTTTTTATTTGACAATTAGTGCTAAGCACAACGGGGCAGTCGACTTCATTTATGCCTAGAGACGATTCAATTAGCCGAGGGAATATAATTTTCACCTAAGCCTTAGGTGAGGATTGTGGGTGAGACGAATACTGAGTGCAGTAAGCTGGTGAATAACTGAAAATTTAATGAACTCATCCCTCTTTCTCGCCTAAATCTCGGTGTAGCAAAAACTACTGAACACCATTAAGCGCTCCGATGCTATGAACTTCTCGCCTACTGCAGAGGATAATATAGACTTTTGAATTTGGAAGAAATTTTTTTCCCAGTCTGTAGAAAATCTATCGTCCACACATTGGGTGAAGCTACTCGTTGATGGTTGCAAGTCGAAAAGTTACGAAGCGCAAACGGTTTTTAGCCATGCCATCAAGGTTGAACAGACCCAACGAATCCTATGGCCCATGTAGGTAATTTTAATTTTAGGAAGGGAAGGAGAATCCCGAATTTTAGGACAGGAAGCAGTCAGTTTAGACTAGTCTTTATATACATTTGTACCCTTTTTCATCTATCCTCTTGATGAAAGCAAACTGGCTACCTACATAGAACTTTACTAGATAGCTCCACGTATGTGACTAATTTTTTGCATATTACAAGGAAATAGCTGAATTCTCAACGATTTAAATTGGATTCAGTGATTTCATTTGTTCTCCAAAATTCTGTAAGTATAGGCACAGTTCAGATAATTTTGAGGTACCCCTTTTTATTCGGAAAGCGGAAGAATACAGTGCGTTTCATAATTATAAGGTCACCCTCAAATTTTGCACTTTCAGAGAAAGCAATCATTAAGGAATTTTTCTAGCATCATGAACGGATTCCCCAGCACGAATAACCTAGGTTCCCGTTTTTTAGCCGCAGCTGCATTTTTCTGAACTTTTTTAGAACAGTTTATCGATTTTTGCACCATTTCATAACTATAAGGTCACCCCGAGAATGTGAACAATTATTCATGGAAGAGAGGAAATTTCGTGTTTGAAGATACTTGTAAAGGTTAGCATGTGTAGCAAAGGCATTTCTAAACCTGGCTGTCAACATGGCTCGTGGTCATCTGCTTTCCTCTGATATAAAGGCTCATCATGAAGGTGGGTTTAGTACTCGAGCCATCTCCAAGCAAATAGGGAGATCCCCTCGGTCCATTCAAAGATTTCTGGAGAGCCCTGATGTCCCTAGATATAACACCGAGTGGACACCCATGAAAGATTACTGCCCGTGACGAGCGGAAGATTCTGAGGACTGTTTCCAACAGTACGTCCTCCTTGAACCAGATCCGATCGGGATTAAACCCCACTGTGTCGAAAACTACAGTCTAGAGAGCAGTGAGAAGATGCGAGAACATCACCAGGCAAACAATNGAGAGCGATGAGGAACATCTTCGAAACCTAGTTTCTAGTATGCCACGTAGACTCTTTGATGTTGCTCTCAAACAAGGAGGAGCTATAGATTATTAAGTGTTGTGCATATGCCACCAACGTTAATAAATCACTTACTTTCTCAGGGTGACCTTACAATTATGAAACGGTGCAAAAGCCGACATTATCTTTAAAAAATTCATAAAAAATTTGAGATGAAGGAAAATGC